TGTGGTGTTCCTTCTGCTTGGAATGCCTTTCCTTACCGTGCTAGCTAGTGAACTCTTGAGTTTTTTGTTCTTTTAAACTAACCTATTTTCCCACTGGTCTGCCTGTGCCCTCATTGCTTGTTTACGTGCCTACTGACTAGTATTTCCAATAGTATCCGAGCTCCCGAGGCACAGAGAGAGCCTGTTCAGTTTTGTATCTTCAAACCCTGACACGTGGTAGATGCCCTACAAGTGTGTTTAGGGTTGTCCCGCCTGGCAAACTTCCCCTTTCTTTTCTGTCCTGTGCAGGGATTGTTTGGGGTTAGTTGCGTGTTACTGAAACAAATATTCCAGAGAAAAGAATATATGGCAAACTTTCAGAAGAGATATTCTGTGTTTCCTGTTTTGGCTTTTTTTTTTTTTTACTTTGTGTAAAACAGCTCTGGAAGGAAGTATTTATATGGAGAACATTTTAAATAAAAGTTGCAGTGTTCTCCGTCCTGGCCCCTAAACCTTCCAGGCACTGTTGTCTTCATCATCTCTTAAATTGTTTTGCCAATCTTCAAGCTTTTACTCTTAATGCCTTTGCTCATCTCCCAAACATCTATACATTTCCTTAATGCTTTAACAAGATAACATTAATCTCCAAACTCTTACCCCATTCCCATTCTCCTTTTCATCATTTAAAAAAAAGAGCTATTTCTGTTTGGTGCTTATCTTCTCACTCAGCCCACTGGAATCTGACTTTAGGCTTTGCCACTAACAAAAAGCTTTCCCTCAAAGATCTCTAGCGATTTCCAGCTTGCCAGGCCAACTGTGTCTCTTTAGCTGTAAGGCCACCTCTTCCCTCTGCAGTTTTGGACACTACAGTATTGATTTCTTCCTTCTTAAAATGTTTTCCCACTCTTCGCTTCTGTGTCACGGCACTCTCATAGCTTGTCTCCCTGACTATGGCATTTCATTGGAAGAGGGGGGAGAGTCTTACCTTGGGCATATATAGTCACTTCTTTATCAATTTATGTTTATTCCACAGATATTTACTGAGTGACAACCAAGTACCAGGCACTGGATATGTAGTGGAGAGCAAATCAGATATGGTCTAATTTTCTGAAGTCCAGAGTTTTCACCTTATATTTGTTACCTATTTGCTGTGCAGCAGATGACCACAAACTTAGTGGTTTCAGACAACACACATTTATTATCTCACAGTTTTTATGGATCAGGCATCTGGGCATGGCTTCAGGGTCTCACACAGGCTGCAGTCGGGTGTCGGCCAGGGCAGGGTCTCATCTGCAGCCTCGGCTGGGCAGGGACCTGCTTCCAAGCTCATTTTGGTTGGGCGGGATTCATTTCCTTGTGGACTGTTGCTCTGAGGGCCTCGGTTCCCTGCTGGTTGTTGGCCAGAGGCTACCCTCAGGTCCTTGACATGTGAGCCTCTGTATATGGCAGCTTGTTTCATTAGAGCCAGCAAGGGAGAGAACTAATAAGAGAGTTGCCTAGCGTGATGGAAGTGATGACCTTACATGATATATTCATGGAAATGACATCCTATTACTTTCATTGTGTTTTAATGGTTAGAAGTGAGTTGCAGACTCCCCCCAAACCCCCACGCAGGAGGAGGAGGTCACTTGGGGCAACAATACCAGGAAGCACAGATGCACTGGGTGCACCTTAGAGGCCACCTTTCCCAAGCCTCGTATTGTCCACCCCACCCCCCCTTCCCGCAAGGTTCCAGGCACCTCAATTTCTACTGCTCTCAAATGGAACTCACTACTCTCCCCTTGCCCCAAACCTGTTTCTCATCCTGTCTTCCTGTCCCGATCAGTAACCCCATAGGCATCCAGTCATTTAGTCTAGAAACCCAGATATCATTTCAACACCTCCTCCCGAGAGCTAATGGTGTGCTGGGCTGTGTGGAGTCTTTCATGTCATTCTCTGCTTTCTGTTCATGCTGACATGGCTTTCAGTCAGGTCTCACGATGGCCTGGGCCATTGTGTTAGCTTTCTAACTGCTTCTCTGCCTCATTCTCATCAATTCTTCTTTTCCTAACCACCAGAGTCACTTTCATAAGTCACTCTGTTCGGAACCTTCGTGCCTCCCAGCCGCCTATGGCATAAAGGCCTAATTTCTGAGTTTGCTATTCAACCTTTCATGATCTGGCCTCAACTCTTCCATTTGCCGACCACTCTCTGCCGTTGCCCTTATGCCCCAGGCTCACTGGGCCTCTTGGTGCTCCCTGAGCCCATCCCTGCCTGTGTGTGCCTCTGCATTTGGTCCTAGTTACTTCTCCCTGTATTCCCTTTTCCTTCCTTCCTCCTTCATACACTTCCAAACCTATCTGAAAACCACCTCTTCCGGGAAGCCTTCCCCAGTATCCCCTGCGGGCTGAGGCCTCACTCAGAATGAATCGGTGGCACCTGCATGCTGTCGTAGCACTCTGCTTGCACCGCTGTCCCAGGCTGCTGTTTTGCAGTGGGCTGTTCAGGTGCCCCTCTCTCTTAAAATGCTAAAGGGCAGGGTCTGGGTTTTACTCTTCTTTGGATCCAAAGTGCCAGCCTCCAGCACAGTGAATCACAATCTTGGCTGCGTGTTGGGATCACTTGGGGAGCTTCAGACATCACTGATGCCTGGAATCCACGCCAAAGGTGATGCTGTGATTGGTCTCAGGTGTAGCCTGATGTTGGCATTTTTAAAAGTGTTCTGATTGCCCGGCTGTGTGCTCGGTGGCTGAGCTTCCCCTATGAACCACGGGGTCTCCGTTCGATTCCCAGTCAGGGCACATGCCTGGGTGGTGGGCTCGATCCCCAGTGTGGGGTGTGCAGGAGGCAACCAATCAATGATTCTCTCTCAACATTGATGTTTCTATCTCCCTCTCCCTTTCTTTCTCTGAAATCAATAAAAATATATATTAAAGAAAATAATGGTGAGGGCCTTCGGTGGCGGCGAGCGGGGCAGACTGGAGCAGGCTGGAAGAGGTTATTGGGGGAAAAAGGAGGACCTGTGCAATACTTGCAACAATAGAGATAAAAAACAAAAACAAACGAACAAAAAAGGCTCTGTGATTCTAACATGTAGGTAACATTGAAAACCTCTACTTCTAGCTGAAGAAATCAAGACTAGGAGAAGGAAAGGATGAGACTCTGCTGAACATTTAATGAATAGGAAGGCCTTAAAACAAGTGAAAACTGAGTTTTTAAAAATCATGCACACCAACTCACTTCAAATAGTGTATCACACAGCTAAGTAATCAAAATGATTTCTAAATGGGTGGACAATAAAATGGGGAAATACGTATATTTGTGGTAATGAGGGAAATCAGAAATGTAAAAGAGAATAAAATCTCAAAATCCCACACTTACTCATGGACGTGGACAGCAGTGCGGTGATGGTGGGCGAGAGGAGTGGGTGGAGGTAGAAAGGGCAGAGGGGGGATAAATGGTGATGAGGAAAAAAAATCCAACACTTCAATTTTTGTACATATGAAGTAAGCAATAAAATGAAATAATGACGAAACAGGATTAACTAGCATTTCCCTTTTCGTTGAGCACTAAAGTGTATGTTGTATGTTGTGCATGTTCGTGTTTGTGTCAGAGGTATAACTTACTTGCATGTTATTTAGATTTCCTTCTTTGTTTTCTAGGAATATTTTGAAAACAATTGCCCTGGGTCAGATATTGTCCTTGTGTATATGTGGAACAGCCATCACCAGCCAGTATTTGGCAGAAAAATACGAAGTGAACACCCCCATGTTTCAGAGCTTTATCAACTATTGCTTGCTGTTTCTATTTTATACAGTGATGCTGGCATTTCAATCAGGTATGCTGAGTGTGGGAATTAACTTTTTCAGTGACCTATCTTCATTAAAAAACGTGGCTTTTAGGCATTTAAAAAATGAAACATGAGGCAAAAGTAAGAACAGGAAAAACTATTGCTGCCTTTATAAAAGTCATTAGAAAAGTATGATACCTCTGAATTCTGTGAAAGTACTGATTAGAGATTCATGCATCATCTCTGGCATTGTTGATTAAAATAAGTAGCACTAAACTGGAACAGTACAAGTTGTCAGAAAAATTAAATGTGTAAATATTATTACAAGTTAGGTTGATAAGATTAAGAGACAATATTAAGAACACTTAAAGTCAAGAACATCACTCTTCAAAGGCTGTATATGCAGCTAAGTGGAGAATGCTAAATGGAGCATCAACTGCATGTAGGTCAAATCTATGTTATGAGAGAAACAAAGGCAGGGAATTGGGAAGGAATTAACATCTTTATCACTGACTGGTTAAGTTGTTTTAGAATCATTACAGAATTATCATTTCTCAGTAGCTACACACACACAAAAAAAGGGAAAAACTAGGTTCTGACAAACATTTTTGTGCCAGACATAATTTTAATTGCTTAACTCATCTAGGTTTGGTATAAACTCATTGAAGCCTCCCAACAAGTCAAGTGAGTATTATTACTATTCCCACCTTACAGATGATCAAACTGAGGCATGTAGTACTTACATAACTTGCTCTAAGTCATATAGGTGGTAACTGGTGAGCCAGGATTCACACCTAGGCAGGCAGCCACGCTCCCCCCTCCCCCCCCTCCCGCCAGAGCCGATGCTCTCACCACCAATCTATATTAGGGACTCCTAGTCATGCTAAGAAGACTCTTCTCACAAGAAAAGAGCACGGTACTATAAAATAAATTAAGTGAGATTGAATTTAGGGATGTGAGGACAATGGGTAACTCAACCAAATCAATTGGTTGGTTGCAATACTTCTATTTTCATCGTATTTAAAACACAATAAAAGTACCATAATAAAAGCAGATTTGCTAATCCTCTTTTTAATATTTAAAAAATATTTAAATATTTAAAAATTGATTTGAGAGAGAGAGAAACATTGATGTGAGAGAGAAATATAGGCTGGCTGCCTCCTGCACACCCCCTATTGGGGACTGAGCCGGCAACCTGGACAACCTTTTAGTGCATAGGACAACACTTAACCAACTGAGCCACACTGGCCAGGGTGCTAACCCTCTTTTAATATGAACCTTAAAGCATCAATGGTTTTCCTATGTGTCAGGATAAAAAACTTACTTTGAAAGAAAATAGAAACCAGTGGTAGGAGTGGGGAAACCATCTGAAGGGTAATGTACCAAATGTGGCAAGAGCTTTAGGAGTTGGAAATAGAACTGGTATTAGCACATGGCTAGTAGGGACTTTGCTCTTCTCTGTAAGTACTGGCCTTTAGTAAATTCATGTAATTCATAAACACAGCAATACGGTCTCCCTAAGGGATGGCTGTTAGGTCCCTTCTATACCATCTCATGTCGAGGAAGACCGACTGTGCTTTCAGGATTTTCTTGTAAATTGGGTTTTAATGATACTTACCTGGCTGTGAGTCTCACTACCTTTATTTCCTTGTAGGTTATCTTACAAGAAGCCTTCTAATCTATGTTCCAACTCTGTGTCCTGTGATGCTAGATTCTCCAAAGAAGTGAATCATAGTTAACTTGAATAAATAGAACTTGGTGAATAAAAGGTGTTTCTTCACTGGTGCCACTAAATCCTTTTTTCCCAAACTTATAACTGACGTACTTTTCTCTTGAAAGCACATCTTTTTTAAAAAAAAAATTTATTTTTTTGAAAACACATCTCTTTTAATGACCAAGGCAGAGTTTCCTTTGAAGAAGCCCATGAATGGAGGTTCCATAGCCAATGAATTAATAAGAAAACATTGCATTTCCTAGGAAAATCGGTAGCTTGTCAGGAATGGCAACATCCAGACCTGTTTTAGATATTAGATTTCTGTCACAAGGAGGGAGGGAATTTAACCACTTTTCCCTACTTACTTTCTCTCTGGTGTTTTCATTGAACAATTGGTCTGTGATGACACCTTAGCTGGGTCTCATACTAGAAAAATTTGATTCTGCTGAACTGTTGTAGGAATTTGTAGGAACTATTGTACGCATTAGGAGGGGCCACTTCCAAAATACACAGTAAATATAAATAAACATGCACGGCCTCATTTTCAAGGAGCATGTACTAACTCAGATGTCTTTCAACCAGGGCCTGATAGCCTTTTACACATCTTGAAAAGAAAGTGGTGGAAGTACATCCTGCTGGGCCTAGCAGACGTGGAAGCGAATTACCTGATTGTCAAAGCGTACCAGTACACAACTCTCACCAGCGTCCAGGTGCGAGGGCGTCCTCTGACCACTTTGGCTTGTATAGTTCTTCTCTTAAGAAGAACCCGAACTCGTATGTGTTAACCTCATTTTGTGGCCAACCTGTTCACTCGAAGAAAACCTAAACACAGGTGGTTGCTATCTGTTTTCAGAGGAGCATATGCGCTAGTGAGTAAGCAGCTGGGAATTGGGGAACATGTACATGAGTTAATGAGTTCCCAAACTGCAAATGCTGTAGCGTATTAGAACAGTGTCTTCCCAAATAAGCATAAATATTTAGTTGGCAACCGATGCTGTGATGTTGACGAGAGCTCTGCTTTATACGTTGCTCACACACGGCATAGAAAGTGGCTGTACTTTGTGCTACAGAGAAGTGGGAGGTTTGCAAGTAGGTATTCAAACAAAGGAGCGATTGGAAGGAGTCTGCTAGACATCTTGGTAGAGAGGGCAGCCAAAGGCAAAGCTTATATCCTTATTTGTTTATTGGGCTTTTGCTTGATTGAAAGAAGTAGGTACCTAAATAGCAGGATTTTTCAGCCGGTGGAGTTGAGTCAGACCCATTCAGTTGCCTTTTTTAAAATTGAATTTATTGGGTGTCTGTGACTCTAATGAACAAAAGAAACTGGCAAAGAAAATAAAAACAGAGGCATGGATACATGGAACAGACTGACTGCTGTCAGAGGGGAGGAGGATGGGGGGCTGGATGAAAGAAGGTGAAGGGATTAAGCAAAAAACATATGGGAAAGGGAGTGGGAGTAGGTAGAGGGGAGCAAGGAGGGCTTAAATGGGGATGGAAAGGGACTTTGCTTTGATTGATGGGTGCATGATGCAGTTGTTGTAATGTTAGGAAGCTATGGGAAGTTTTGTAACACTGAGTCACCAGTACTAACAACAAAATGTTTTATCAATGGAGGTGAAAGCGAGATAGACGCCATTGCCAGGTTTAGACTTCACCGTTTAATGAATTTATAACTTTCTGATGCATTGTTCTTCTCACTATGTAAAACAGAGATGTTTTATTTGATCTCCAAATTTTAGGAACATAGAAAAATTGAAGTGAGATTAGACTTACTTCATTTGGAAAACATAAGGACAGATGGAAACACAGTATTTTTCCAATGTGAATATACATTAAGTGCTATTATTACCAGTATGCATTTTATTAAATGCTCTCTTTTCTGTCACATGGTGCTGAGCACGGTCCACAGCAGACCTCTTGGTTTTTGACTGGCATGAGCTTCAAAGCCCCGATGGGAAATATTTGTTGTCAGACATTATAGGAGGTACATGGAAAAACCCAGAATTTCATAAAAATTAAAACCGGAAGTTAGTTTCCTAGAGGGTGAAGTTCATCACAATTAGTATTAACTGTGCTTTAAGCAATGGGCAGGGAGAATGTAGAAAATAGCATTTTCTAGTCACATCTACCCTCATAATCTCTCACGTAATTCAATTAGTTGACTACAATTTCCAGAAACTTTGATCTCTGACTAATAATAATTAAAAGATTTGAATTGGTGCAAGGTCTAAACACAAAGGTGTGTTAAAACACTTGCCCTGGGGTTTTTGTGACTGAAGTTCATGCCTTACCAGTATATTACCCCAAATGTCTTGTAGCCTCTTAGAAAAACCTAAGCATTTGGTTGTCAAAAGTTATGTACTTAGGGCTCCAGCAAGGGGTATATTTTTATTTTCTTTATTTCCCCCCATCACCATTTATTTATTTTTAATTTTTTAACATATATTTTTATTGTTTTCAGAGTGGAGGGGAGAAGGAGAGAGAGAAACATCGATGATGAAAGAGAATCATTGATTGGCCACTTCTTGCACGCCTCACACTGGGGATTGAGCTTGCAACCCTGGCATGTGCCCTGACCGGGAATCGAACCGTGACCTTCTGGTTCATAGATTGATGATCAACCACTGAACCACGCTGGCAGGGCTAACTCAGTGTTATACTTATGCCTTCCCTCCCCCTCACGGTCTTACATAGTATCGTGCTTACTGTGGCTACACAATAATTTATAAAAATTAAATTAAAATAGGGGGACTCTTGGAACTGAAAGCATCAGAGTCACCAAGAATACATTTTGAAAGGGAGGTTCAATGTAGATAAATAGCTGGATGTGATAGATATAAGATAAGAAGTCCTGGAGTTTTGGAGTTGGGAGAGATTTGTGAGGAGATCATTTGGTCTTTCCTCTTCATGTCATATTTTGGCTTAGAGGGTGACTGGTTGTAACTCACACAGTTGGTTGGGAGCCCAGGGAGTCTGGAACTCTTACCATGACCTAGGCAGTTCCCTTTATATGGCCACTGATTGCCCACTAACATTGTTAAAAATAGAGCAAATTTAAGTTTGATTTTAAGATAAGATTCAAGGACAGGGAATCTCCTGTGAGAATTTTTAGAGCGACTTTTTCTTTTTTGCTTAAGGAACATAGTTGAGACTTTAAGTCATAACGGCCAGATTCTGCTGTGTCTTCTGGGACAGGCTATTATCATTTGCATCGTTTGAGGCTTTGTTATTCAGGCAGGCTCGATAAAGCACTTAGGAGATTAGAGTTCTGCAGCTGGAATAAATAACAAGGCAAGGCGCCCATTCCTGCACAGGCACCTGACTCCAGGAATGACACTGCAGTGAAAGACGATTAGCCAGCAACTGTGGGCAGGACCTAACAGGCTGCTGCTGGAGATTTAGGGGCCTGCCTTGTCTCAGATTAGAAAGACATAGAGAAAATCCAGGACAAGGTTAAAAACAAGAAGATATGCAAAAAACAGCAGATTGAAGAATATTATAAGGACTATCTTTTATCCTTGAATTTTCAAAATTTGTGAAGAACTGAGTGAATGAAATCTCTATTTTTCCTTGATCTTACAAGTAATTTTGGATTTGCTATCATTTTGTCACTTTTAATCCCCCTGCTTTTCAGACTGGCAATAGTAGGGTGTAGCAAATATTTTCTGGACCCAGGATCAACAGGTGATGACAAGCAAGAGTATTTGCTCTGAGCAGGTGTTTGTCTGACAAAATGGGGTTGGACTCTGTCAGGGAGATGGTGTCTTCTTGCTTTCTCATAATAACCAGTACTTTTTCATAGCTCTTACTCCAATGGCAGAAATATCTGGCTGTGTGATTATTTATGCCATGTCTGTCTAGCCCTGTGTATGCTACTGAGGGCAGGGCTGGGGGAGGGGGGGTCTCTTTTTCTCTACATTCCAGCTCCTCACAGTGTTTTCCATGCTGAAATATTTGTTGACTGAGTGAATGGGTACATGCAGGTAGGAAAGTTTGCTTATTGAGTTTAAGGATAACTCAGGAGGGAGTATAGAGGTAATTTGCACAGGCTCTTGGGCAGAATTCCTGAACTGAGCAACTATCTCTCAGACTTTTGTTTGTTTGTTTGTTAATCCTGACATGAGGATATTTTTTCCATTGATTTTTAAAGAGAAGGGAGGAAAGGGAAGGAGGGGAGATAGAAATACAGGAAACATCAATCTGAGAGAAACACATTGATTGGTTGCCTCCCATACGTGCCCCGACCAACCCACCAGAGACTAGGGATTGAACCCTCAACACAGGTAGGGGTGTATCAGGCTGGCAGGCAGAAGCGGTTAGGGGCAATCAGACAGGCAGGCAGGAGAGTGGTTGGGAGCCAGCAGTCCCGGATTGTGAGAGGGATGTCTGACTGACAATTCAGGCCTGATCCCACTGGGCAGTTGGACATCCCTCGAGGGGTCCCAAATTGGAAAAGGTGCAGACTGGGCTGCGGGAACCTCCCCTCCAGTGCACAAATTATATTTCAGAGAGGAAGAGAGAGGAAGAGTTTGATAGAAATATCAATTATGGGAGAGAATCATTCATTGGTGCCTCCCGCACTCCCCACACTGGGGATCAAACCCACAACCCAGACATGTGTCCTGACCAGGAATCAAACCGTGATCTCCTGGTTCATAGTCAATACTCAACCACTGAGCCACGCTGGCCAAACATAATTGCTAACTTTTATTATTACTTAATTACCTACCTCTTAGCTAATGAGAGGTGTTTGAAGCTGTCTGTTTCTCCTTCCATGCAGCTTTTGGATTGCTTTGGAATTCCCGTGTTGATGGCTCTCTCCTGGTTCATCCTTTATGCAAGATACAGAGTGATCCATTTCGTTGCCGTGGCTATCTGTCTGCTGGGCGTAGGAACTATGGTTGGTGCAGACATACTAGCAAGGAGAGGCAATTCAGGTAAGACTGTGACTTCTTTCTGGTGAGCAAAGGGAAGGAGGGGAGATAGAAATACAGGAAACATCAATCTGAGAGAAACACATTGATTGGTTGCCTCCCATACGTGCCCCGACCAACCCACCAGAGACTAGGGATTGAACCCTCAACACAGGTAGGTGCCCTTGACTGGGAATTGAACCTGCAACCCTTCGGTCCATAGGCCGACGTCGTAACCACAGAGCTGGCCAGGGCTATATCTCTTTGACTTTTATTTTATTTATTTACTTATTATTATTATTATTTTTTAAATGGTATTATGGTAGACAGAACTCAAAGGGCACTATATATTGTATTTTCTTTCCTGCTTTCTTTTTTTTTTTTTGTAAATACATTTTTATTGATTTCAGAGAGGAAGGGAGAGGGAGAGAGAGATAGAAACATCAATGATGAGAGAGAATCATCG